CAAGGAGGGAGGGAAGGATTCACAATGAGGCCTCTTGTTATTTGCACATGTGTAGCTCTTGTTGTTCTTGTCGTCTTTAGTGTTCTTGCTGGTGCCTACAACTATCCTTCCAAAGGGTATTATCCTTTTAGTAGGAATTTGAAAATTCACAGATTAATTATTTTTTAATGTAGTCTAAAAGTATGCAATGTTTATATGTATTTTTTTAAACCTTTTGTAGCTCACTTCTTGGACAGATTTTATTTTTTTACTGCACTAATATGGTAGTTTTGCTTTTATTTTAAATATTTAATAATAATTATTCTAGAACAATATATATTTAAATTTAGCTGATATTCGGTTTAAAAGTATGTTGCGAAATGTTTCAACCCACGAAATAAGGAAATTTCGAATGTTAGGCATTTTTTTTTGGGCACTTTTGTTTATTAATTTCGAATCTCTTGTTATTTGTATGAGTTTCTAATAACCACAAGGGTATAGAAGCTTCTGTTTTCCACATTTTACCCCGCTCTCTCATCAGTGTTTTTGTTTTGGCCTGCTTTTATTGCTGCTTTTTTGCATCGTGTTCTGTCTCTTGGCACTTGTGTCATTTTTAACTGCTTGTGAGTCTCCGCAGGCTCTCAGTTGGGGGATAAAAACCTTTTAATTTGCTCAGCCGCACACTCCCCAATCACTCCGCCGCTTTGCCAGCCACTACCCACTCACCTCCTTTTTGTGGGGAAAACAAGCGCAATTTCCTTTTAATTTCCTTGCAGGCAGGAATGAAACAAAAAGAAAGCAAACGAAGAAACGGACAAACGGGTGGGAAAAAAGGTTTTTTCGGCCCGCAAACGAAGAAATGGAAATATTTTGTTTGCTTTCTCTGCCTCCGACGGACATTGGTCAATGTTTACCAAACAATTATTTCCTCTTTTTGTCGCACAAACTAAAGGCTTCCGACCCTATAACTGTGTTTCCTCCCCCGTTTACCCTTCGATTTTCCTGCCTTTTCCAACATTTTCCCTCTTCAATTGGCCCGGCCATTTCGTCGGCTCTGCAAAAATGTTCGACTCGCATTTCTGGCCCTTACGGAAATATGCCTTACATTGTTCTCACATCTTGTTTATGGTTTTGTTTTTTTTTTTATTTTTGCCTGTCTCAGCTCTATTAACTTTCTTTGTTGGGCTCTATTTTTAGCCCTAAAAATCGAAGAAAGAGATTGGACGGTGGTTGATCAATGCGGTTCCATGGTGTAATGGTTAGCACTCAGGACTCTGAATCCTGCGATCCGAGTTCAAATCTCGGTGGAACCTGAGGAAATTTGTTTTTTTTTTCTAATTTTTTTTATTTTCCTTAAGTCTTATGATATTTTTAGACAACAAAATAAAATTTATATTTAAAACATTTACGGCAGCGGAAATTCAACCTATAAATTGTATTTATTTTGAAAAATATATTCTGATATCTGTTTTATCGATAGATAAGAATTCTTTTAATTTGTATTCATTTTTCTTACTTATCTTAAACATTAGAATGTTGTTTAAGCTTATTAAACCATTTTCGTTTGCTTTTTTGAATAGATTCTTTTAATATTTTTAATTTTCTACTAAACACATTGAATTCATAATTTTCTCTCTTTCTTGGGCATTATGTAAGAACTGGTTGGACAACTTTAGCTACGACTTGTCCCCAAGCATTTTTCCCTACATTCATTATATAAATAATTCCCAAATCATTTCCCAAATGCCACTTTATGCATAATTGACCGCACAAGAACCTTTTTTTTTCGCCTCTCTCGTGCTGTTAACTCATTAATTAATATGCAGGTCAAAAGTAAATGCGATTTAAAGGTTAAGCAGCACGTGTGTAGGATAAGGGGAACGGCGGCAGGAGATGAAAATTTGAGGTGCGACAACAAGGATTCGAGTGGACATGGACACGGTCAAGTGCGAAATGGAGCGGAGGAGTGCGGGGTCGAGTGTCATCAAAATTAATTGCCAATTAATTCTTTATGAGCGGGCCGATGCGTCCGAGCCAAAATAAAGAGTGAAAAAAGGGAAAACCGCAACAACAACAACGACAGCCAGTGACAGTAAAAAATAACACCAAAAGGGGAACAACACAAACACAGGGACACACACGCACAGGAAGTCAAACTTACACAGAGCGAAAGAACGAGATTGAGCCAATTCGATGAAAAATTGGTTTCGACGGAGATATGAAATTAAGGTAAAGTATTATGATATAATAATAATGAAAATAAAATACACATAAAAGCCAACTACTCCACAGGATCTTGGAATTTTAGACAACTATTATTCATTTATGTAAGTTTAGTGAACTTTAAACATGTTCTAAACAGTTTTTTTAAGCTTTAAAATATTATTACATGGATATATAAATATCAGATAACTCTTTATATTAAATATAAAAAGCAGTTAATGTTAAATACTAATGTATAGGGATTTAAAAATAATACGATTTTGAAAATTCCAGCATAAATCAATCAAATACAATGAATAACTTGTATTCTTTAAAATAAAAAAAATATATTGATCTGACTATAAATGAGCCTGATAACTCCCCGTTTTAGTCGCGATATTTGTACATATATCTATTAATTTTTGTCGCCGTGCACACAGCACACATTCAGTAAACAGAAGATGAGTCAGTCAGTTTATTTGGATAGGATAATGGAGCACACGAGCCGAAAACACAACGGAACAAAGTCCTGCAAGAGGTTGGGGACCCATAAAATAACTGCGCATTGAAGTGTGACGATGAAATGGAGAAGGCGCATCAACTCCCCCGTTCACTGCCCCCCAAACACACACCACGAACAATAAAAAATTAATATGCCAAAATGTGGAAAATTGTTCGGCGCGAAATTTGCTCTCCTCTCTCCTTTGCCTGCATTAATTTGTGGCCCTGTGCGTATTAGCAGAGATTAGACATGGATCATTAGCTTTGAGTGGGCGTCTCAATGGAAATGGGAGGTGTGGTGTGGACTCTGTGGAGGAAAGTTTGCCAAAAAAAAAAAAAATTTAAGAAAAGAAAGAAAGAAAAAGGAAAACACGTGCTGACCGATTTAGGTTAGGGCTGCTGCCCCCTCAAAATTATTCTCTTTTCCGCTGCTGCTGGTATATTGTCCTCGGTGTCACGAAATGTTGTGACAACTTTTGCGTGGCAAAAGAAAACAGCAAAAATGTACACAAAATTGGAACAAAAACTAAACGCGATACTACACACAACAAATCATAACTTTTGGCGTTTTTCGGCCTTATTTATTAGGCTTGTCATTGCTTTTATCTGTATTGTTTTTGTTTTCTTCTTTTTAATTTATTTGCTTTTCTTGTTATTCGTGGTTTTTGCTGTTGTACCAAAAGGAAATCGGGGGAAAACGCGGCGGTTTCCCAGGCGTTCTGGAAATGTGAAACCAGCGCGCCTCAAAGTTAAACCAAAACTGAGCATTTAAGGACATTTACGATTGATTTTATACCGAAAAACAGACTCCGAAAACCGAAGCCGAGTGACACAGAAAACGCTCGTGGGTCCTGCGAAAGGATCCGAGTCTAATCCCGAACTCCCGAGGACCCAATTCGGAATAAAAAGCTTTCGCTGCATCTACTGAGCTCTGAGTTTTAATTCTCACACTCTCGCCAAATCCAGCAGGTTGTTTTTTGTTTGGCGCGCTTTATTAAAATTACATTATGATTAGGACGGCACCATGTGCTTAATTACCTTATTTTATTATTAGGAAAAGGTTCGAGTTAACATCCCTCGTGGCTTTCCTTCGAAATAAACAATTTGGACCTAATTGACTTTCGAGTTTAAGTTAGTGGGTTTACTGAAAAGTGTAGCTTTTTAGCTTATGAATATTACGTTAAATAACTATATTTACATGCTAGTTTCATTTATTTTAAACTATACAACTATATACTATAATACATTAAAAATTGAAAGATTATTCAAATATTTATAAAACTTTTATAAAGATTTATCTATAAATTTTAAAATTAAATAGAATTTCACATTTCAATTATTAACATTTCACTTATCAACAATCATTATAGAAATCCATAATTTATAAAAATAGGTTTTTTATAAAAACTTTAGTCAAACAGTTTTAAAAATCGTTTTTCTGTTCTGAATTCAACAAACATGTTTGCATATATTTATCAATCATGAATTTATTTCTCTCCCTAGCAACATCTAAAATCTTGTATAATTATCTTTAGGCGTTTTGCAGAAACAGAAACAATGCCAACCTCCTCACAAAAATCTAAAAATAGATTCGAATTTCTGTAAGAGACTTTCTCTTCTATGATCTTTCACAGCCAAGCTAAGCCGCTTCATTAGAAAACTGATACTAAGCAGCATTCTCCCATGGAGGTTCCATGGTGTAATGGTTAGCACTCAGGACTCTGAATCCTGCGATCCGAGTTCAAATCTCGGTGGAACCTGTCTTAAAACTTTTTTTTCTTTTGTTATTCTATAAGAATATATTATTATATTATATATAATTTTTATTTTAACAATGTAAATGAAAAATAAACATATCGAGAACTGGGCAGATTAGCCTTTATTTTTAGCTCTGCTTGGACAAGGCTAAGATCACCTAGGTTCCATGGTGTAATGGTTAGCACTCAGGACTCTGAATCCTGCGATCCGAGTTCAAATCTCGGTGGAACCTGAGATGAGTTTTTTTTTTTTTTTTATTTCTTTTTTATAAGCAAAGTTATCAAGTCATACATGTCATAAATTTGTTAACATTAAATAAGACAATTTGCTCGTTATTTAATCCAGAGAAAACCAGCACGTGTGCTCTTGAATAGCTTTGGTTTTAGCGAGCTTTCAAAGCTCAAATTGTCAACAAATTACACGTGAGAGAAAGAAACGAGAGAGAAAGAGGCCCCGAAATATACAACAAATTATAAATATAAACAATACATGGCTAAGAGCAATGCGTTGAATGAACGATTAGCCAAAGAGGAATTACCTTTCGGTATTTTAAGACTTACCTTTATCGCGAAACAACTGCTTGTAGGAGGACAGATTTTCCGACTCCAGCCATTCGTCGACAGTGGGAAGGGTCGGTTCCGAGCGGGGGGCGTAGGCGGGATGCGAGGACCAAATCAATAGCACTATTTTCACCAGCGATACCGTGAACATTAAGCTCAAAACTAACGCAATCAGCACTTTCAGAGAGCGTTTCAACATAATCCTGTCAACTTCCAGCCGCAATCAAAGTCAAATCCACGTCAGAATCCGAGTCCAAAAGCAGGCGAGAAATCCTTCTTTGTGCGCCAAACAAATAACGTTAAATGCCCGCGGAAAACGAAAACTAACCATAGCCAAGCGCGCGTTAATTTACTTATCTTCTATTTTGATTAGTTTGCAGAAAAAAGCGCAAAGGTGCGAAAAATGCAGCGAGAGCAAAAAATAAATGCACTTCTGACGTCTTCGTTTTGCATTTTGTTTTTGTATTGTATTGTTGCACTTCTCAGTTCTGCTTCTTCCAGTGTTGCAAGATGAAAATTTGGCATTCCCCTAAATTTTCCCAGAAAAACAGCTGTTTAGCATGGACACCAACCAATAATCGAGATTCAGACCCACTGGCTGCCACTCACCTAATAGGTTTTACTACAATTATATTAAAATTTACCCGCCGAAATAAAAGTTAACAAAAAGATTCCACAGTCAAAACTAGTTTAGTCAAGTAGAAAATAAACAAAAAAAAAATGAAAATAAAGGTCTCAATTCAGGTTCCACCGAGATTTGAACTCGGATCGCAGGATTCAGAGTCCTGAGTGCTAACCATTACACCATGGAACCGCTTGACAAACTGCTGACAAAACTCATAAAGCTGTTACGTACAACAAAATAAAACGCTGAATGAGCAAATTCTTATATTTTATATGACTTTTGTTATTTAAACGCATTTATTATTAAATTTATTATTGAGGCATACACACCTGTAAATAAGTGAAATTCATGTGGTCATATACTATATAAATTGTTTTTAATTGGATCAAAAATCTAAAAGTAAAAACTTAAATATTTTTAAATTTGAGAAATTTAATCAAAAAAAAAAAATTTAATTCAATAAAATTAAATAAAATAAAAAAAACAAAAAGTAGTATTCCCAAGGTTCCACCGAGATTTGAACTCGGATCGCAGGATTCAGAGTCCTGAGTGCTAACCATTACACCATGGAACCGCTTGTTTGCGTGCCGGCAAAACCGACTGACATTTTTCGCTGGGCTAACGACGTTGCTTTTTTCATGCAAGATTCCGAAGATGAGTAAGCAGAGTTGGTGAAAATTTTAATCTCTAATTAGCTCGCATCCAAAATCAATACTAATTTGCTCTTCAACATTTTTTATTTCTTCTTGCTTAATTTTTTTTTGCGTTTTTACAAGCACTTATGACTAATTTGAGTTGCCAGCGCGCGCATATTCCGTTTAATCCGTTTGCAGTTCCATTATCACGAGTCGGGTCCCACTAAGAACTTAGCTTAGCCGTAGTAGGAGTAGGGGGAAGCATAATATCCGCCAGAATAGGCGTAGGGACTGGCTCCATAGTAGAACTGAGGAGCTGGATCGGGACTGGCAATTGGAATGGGTGCGGGATTGGCACGGGGCAACGGTGCTGGGGCAGGAACGGCCAAAGCGGCGGCGAACAGGGCGGCAAAAACAACAACCAGCTGAAATGGAACAATTTTAAGGATTTTGTTTTTTAAGTTTATTTAAACAGCTCCCAATGAGGACATTTCTATTATTCCTTCAACTCACCAGCTTGAACATTTTGTTTGTTTTGATTTTGTCTTGAGGACTTGAGGTGCTTCTTAAGCGATTGATATTTGTGATTTGATGCTGCTCTCCACCTGTCAGCGGGCTTATATAGTCCTCGGGCAATCGCAAAAAAAATATATTCGCACTCATGACTTATTTATGATGTCGCACTTCTGGACTCTGATCGGATTTATGGCCATTTCTGTTTTGCTCACATCATTCTGGCCTTAGTTTCGTTTTCTATTTTTTACTCGGATAGTTTTTTGTGTGGCCAAAACAAAAATTTCCTTGCGCATTCTAATGGCTTCTTATTCTTCTCCGTCAATATCTGATGATGATGGAATCACTTAGCTATAGACACTGGCCTTGAACGTGATTTCAGGCTCAGACGGGACCAGGGTATAATCTCGAGCTACGCTCATTGCATTTTAATTGGGAATTTCTGGTCTCTAATTTGGGCTACCATTGAGCTGATTAATGATTGGTAGACATTGTCAGGTGTACCGAATGAGACTGCGATAGGGTTGGACTCGGATCTTATCATGATGGCACGAGTTTGGAGATTGAATTAATATGCAGTTAATTACTTGGAATACGGGAGGAATATTCCAAGTGTTAATTTCAGGTATTTTATTGATTTTTATAGGTATTTTGGCCAATTAATAAACTTTAACCATTATATTATTTTGAAATGGTAATTCCAAAATTCATTCTACATTTTATATCTTGATAAACAATAAGATACATTTATATTTGGTAATTGGTGGGCAATTTTATTTTACAAGGTTATTTTTATACCCTTGCAGGGTATTATAATTTCAGTCAGAAGTTTGCAACGCAGTGAAGGAGACGTTTCCGACCCCATAAACCATATATATTCTTGATCAGCATCAACTGGGGAATCTTTCTAGACATATCCGGAAGAAATCGATTTTTTGGCCATTTTTGCGAAATTTGATAAGGGGTTACATCATTAAAATTAGCAAAAATGTCCAAAAATGTTGATTTCTTAAAATTTTAAATTTGGTATGCAGTTTTTTTAAATTAATAAAAACTAACACAAAACTGCTTTCCGAATCGAAATTAATGCATTTTTGGCTTAGTTATGATATATTTTAATTGTTACCTGCAAGGGTATACAAACTTTGGCTGGCCAAAGTTAGTAGCTTTCTTTTTTGTTATATTTACTTTCAGATGTACGAAGATATCTGTTGAGAGTCTTATTTTTAAGGCGATATACAAAAACTATTTAAAAGTACTGAGATTGCATTTGTTAATAAAATATTTTATTAAAAATTGATTTACTATAAGTCGTTCTACACAGTGTATAACAGTTGTAATTAAGCTAATTTTTTAAAAAATTGTATATATATTAAAGCTGATGTTAACTTAAACGCACAAACAAGAAAATTTATGAAACAACTCCTTCACTGAACTCCCTCAATTTGTTCTATTTTTATAAATTTATTTTAGATATATGTATCTCCTTGGCCGTGACAAATCCTATTATTTCATCGACTTCGCTTTGGAGTGCAAGTGTATCACCTACGAAAAAAAAATTGCCAAATCATGTATTTTTAAACTCCCAAATCGATCGGAACGACAATATAAAGCCAAATGTTTGCCGCAGGCCAAATCGAACCCGAAACCAAAGCCCGATAACAAAAAAAAGTGAGTTGACAAAGAGAACGACGGACGACACACATTCCGGGGCAGGGAATGGTGGGTTAGTGTATGGAAAGCGGATTTCTGGGCGGAGGGAGGAGCCACTTTTTTGTAGATGATGATGATGGCGACGATGTGATGTCGTCAGGCAAACAGATTAAGAAACAATAACGTTCTTTGTGCGCGGAACATTAGGCGAGCGCGTTAAGAGCCGTAATGAGCCATAAACTTGGCCGGCAGAATGCATATGGAATATCAAAGCACGATGCAGTCAGCGGTGACAGAAAAAAAAAGTATGAAAGAATCGGCTTAGAGTCTCCGCAATCCCCTCGAAATGTTTGCTGCCTGTTGAGCGAATATAAAAGCCGGCAATTGTGCAAACATCGAGTGTAGTTCGATTCTGTTTGTCAAGTCGTAAAGCCTTAACTCTTCCAATATCATCATGCTGAAGCTGGTGAGTGTGTTTGCCTGCCGAAGGTCCTTCCTTTGATCCCGTCATGCCTGTCCTGCCATACGAATATTCAACCTGGCTTTACCCTCAGGTATTCCTTCTGTTTGCCGCCCTCTTGGCCGTTGCCCTGGCTGCTCCAGCTCCCGCTCCTCTGCCCAATCCGGCTCCCGTGCCGCAGTTTGTCTACTCCGCCGGCTATCCGGCCGTAGGCTACGCTTCTCCGTACGTCTACTACGGCTGATACAAAGTTTGGATTTTGATTTTACTGAATAAACCCCTTTTGATATTGTGCATGAATATCTGACTGTGTTGATTTTTTAAGGTTTTTAAAGATTTTAATTGTATGTACATATCTCTGTGGATTGGGCTTTGGTATTTTTAAATTAAAATTTAAAATAGGATTATAATGGTCCACTTATAATTGTTATGGAAGTATGCCTTCGAATAAATGAAGCCGATAAAATTAAATATAATATAATTATTTTTACAATAATTTATATTAGTTGAATAACAAGACCACAATGGATACTAAAATAAGCATTTCAAATGTTGATAAAGCTTGAAAGCCTTTTCGGTCTAGAGAAATGCATTATTTTATGGTTAGAATTAAACTTCACCTCAAACTTTTACTGTGCTTACCTATTATGGGTAAATAACTGTTATAAATTTAGAAAAGTAAACCAAAACTTGGTTTTTGTATACCAGATGTGTACTATATATAACATTAAGGTTACAAAGGTTACAGGCAACATGGCCTATTATTATTCAAACAGAAAGTTGTTCTACTGCAGAGAAACTTATTTGTTAAAGTATCTTCCAGCTTTATTCTTAAGTTTACTATAAGTTTATTTGTAGTTTATTCAGTTTTTACTTAAATATGTAAACAATTCTTTATTATTTGAAATTTTTTAATACAAAACCTCCTGTAGTGTTCAAACTTTTCCCAAAAATCTTAAATTCAACATTAAGCACAGGACAAAAATTTATAACATTTCTTTATAGCAAAATTGTCAAAACTTTACCCCTTATTTGTGCTTTCCAAGCTCCTTCCTAAAGGCAGCTTTTCACCCCGAATATCCTTGCCCCTGTCAAGTCCTTGGCAACATTTCGAACTCTCAACTTTGTGGAAACAAAGGCTTGTAAACATGTTGCTCGGAGGTTGACGCCGACGAAAAGTGTGCCAACATTGCGAAGTTTCAGGCAGAAGAGGTTTTCCCTTTTCGGGTTCGCCTTCCTGGCCATGGCGTTGGCAATGGGAAAAAGGATGCGGCAGGACGAGCGATGACTTCAGTGTACTTTCTGGCTTCGCGACGGTTCGAACGTGAGCACGGCTGCCGGAATCGAAGGATCCGCGAATCGGAGGAGTCGCACGAGGACTTCGTAATCGTAATCGCTCATCAGGACTTCGTCAAGCATCCGCCGAGACTGTCCCGCGGTGCACTTTCAGTCGAATCTCGACGTTCGCCTGCAATGGATCAGGGACTCGCCAGCGGCGGCTGCTGGAAAACCCAAAAGTCGGCCAAGTAAAGAGCGCGAGAATTGAACGTGAAGCGTGGAAAATCGCCGGCAGGATATGTTTGCCGGATATGTCCTACCCATTCCGCCTCGCGTCAGCTGAGGACTTCCTCAAGTGCCAGTGCTTAAGAAGAAGATAAAAAGAACCGCAAAACAAAATAACAAAAAAAGAGAGAGCAAAAAAAAAAAAAAGAAATAGAAAAATATAAGAAGCCAAAATGTTGGCCCTGAGCAGGATGATGATGTCATGCCGCCGCTGTTGCCATTGTCCTGGCCAAAGTGAAAGTGGTGTTGCCGGTGACACATGAGCGGCTCAGTCATGTGCCATTATCCCTCAAGTGAACAGCCTCGTAATTAACTGCGAAAGTCACCGAAAAAAACGGGCTATAAACTGGCAAATTGTGCGTCTGCAAAAAAAAAAAAGAAAGTAGAGTTTTAGTGAAATTAACCATTAAGGATTATAGCCAAGTAAAGGATTATATAGCCCACTGAGCCATGGATACTTTGATGGTGCTCTGCTCCTTGCTGCTGCTGCTCCTCACAAAAAACGGTAGGATAATCGCAGATTCAAGTCTTTCTAAGAAATATGAAAGAAGGATTTAGCAGGGGAACCGCTTTAGAAACAAACTCTTGCTTTTGGCAAAATTATATTTGCTGCAACTTCGCCGCATTGTTTTACCCCTCTCTTTGTTTCCATAATAATGAAATTCAAAGCTGAATGCCAAATGAGTTCATTTGTTTTCCTCATAACTTTTGGCTCTCTTTTGTTTGTATATTTATGAGAGTGAGCCGCAGAGTGTTTTGTGTGGATTTCGCTCAGAATATCAAAATATCATTTATTAATTATGTGGCTAAAAATTTTGAAAAGTTTAAAGTGACTTAGCATGGTATTATGGTGATTTGTTATTATTTAAAAATTGTTTAATAATAATTATTTTAATAATAATTAAATATATATTGCATTTTGTATATTTTTTATTTTGTATAAGGTAGTATTGCAATTTTCAGTCTTCATCTTCGTTCTTTAAAGAAAATTATTAAACAAAATAATATTTTTTATGAAACATTTTTCAGCTTCTGTAGTTTTATGTGTTCAACCGAGTAAGACAAATATTTGCTTCTCTTCTGGCTGCCACAAATCTGCTTTCAAATGTACTGGAATCAACCTTTCAAAGGAAAGCATTTCTTTGGGGAAACTTGTTTTTTTTTTTTGCTTTTAGTAGAAACTTCTTTTGTCTCTGACCAAACAAACAAGAAGAAATTTTTTATTTTCCTTTTTTTTTGCGGCTACGCAATGTGGCATGGAAATATTACACATACGCCCATTGCGCTCTTAGCCCCAAAAGTATGCAGTGGAAAGCGTGGAGAGGCGGATAGGGCCCAAGTGATACTCTTCTAAGCAAGCCATGTGTGAGGGCTTTGTGAGTGTCGAAGGAGGAACCTTCACCCAAATTAGCCCATGGCCATGTGGCCCTCGAAGATGAAACGTTTCATGGGAATCATGAGAAGGAATTCATTACGGCGAAGGAATAGCGTTGCGGGCGGAAGGGGAGCGAAGGGGCAAAAAGGGCAAGTGCCCCAAACTCAAGCCCCTTGACAGGCTTTGAAGTGCCCAATAGGGCAGCGGAAGTCACTAAATGGGCCGAAAAATATGTATAGAAAACTATACAACACTTGGGGACCCAACGCAACAAAAATCATATTAAATTTTAAGATTATTTTAAACTATAAAATCACATTATTTTGTTTCGTTTTTATGATTTATTATGATATTTATTGATTTTTTTAATTAAAACCATAACCTTATTAAAGTTTAGTAAATATTAGTTTTTTTTATAGCTTTAATTTTAATATTTTTCTTCAGGGAAACTGTGAAATATTTCTTTAAAATGCACAGAAACCACACTGTATTTTGAATGGTAATAAAATCTTGCACAAGGTAAACGTTTTGATGAAAACTACAACAAAAAATAAATATAAAACATAAACAAAATTCGGGTTATCAAAATATCAATAACAAATTCATATTCCGCCATCTTTAGATTGCCTAAAATAAAATGAAACCCATTGCAATAAAATGGGAAACTAACGAAAATGAAAGAAAAATAAAAATGTATGCATATCCAATTCAGTTTACAATGATAGAATTAGACATATACGCCGCCGCGCCACGCCGCCGCCGCCGCCGATTTTTGCCTTATTTGACGCGCCGCCGCCAAATTATGAAAATAACGGCGCGCCGCGGCGCGCCGCTGGTGCGGCATCGGCGCAGCTTCAGCGCGGCCTTCAGTGTCATTGTTCTTTATAAAACTTAAAAAAAAAAAAATAACTCATTAAAATGGCCTTTTTGCCTTATTTGACGCGCCGCCGCCGCCGGTTCTTTCTGACTACTACGCCGCCGCCGCCGAGTCATTTTGACCTCTACGCCGCCGCCGATGCCTTTAACCATCGGCGTAAACCTCTAGATAGAATTAGACATATACGCCGCCGCGCCACGCCGCCGCCGCCGCCGATTTTTGCCTTATTTGACGCGCCGCCGCCAAATTATGAAAATAACGGCGCGCCGCGGCGCGCCGCTGGTGCGGCATCGGCGCAGCTTCAGCGCGGCCTTCAGTGTCATTGTTCTTTATAAAACTTAAAAAAAAAAAAATAACTCATTAAAATGGCCTTTTTGCCTTATTTGACGCGCCGCCGCCGCCGGTTCTTTCTGACTACTACGCCGCCGCCGCCGAGTCATTTTGACCTCTACGCCGCCGCCGATGCCTTTAACCATCGGCGTAAACCTCTAGATAGAATTACATTACCTCAACGATTTTACTTACCCCTTGCCTTTTCTCCCCCTTCTTATGAACTCAAACTTGATTGATATGCAGCGCACAAAGGACCTAAAACCTTAACAATTCAATTGCAGAAAATGTACCTTCATATTGCTTGCGAATTCAAAAAGGCGAATTTGAATTTTTATTGAATTTATTTGAACATTTGCTGCACACACGCCCATCAAATAAAATATTATTAAATTCAATTTGATGGATTTGTTGCTTGTTGGGCAGAGAATTTCCTAGGAAGCTTTATTGATTGAAATGGAAAAAGCACAAATTGATAATAGATGAAATTTGGCAAATCAATTGGCCAAAGTTTGTTACAGTAGCCGCTTTGGCAGACATTCTCCATAATTTATTACATTTAAATAATTAAGAGTGCGGAATATATAGAATTTTCTCGCTTCAGGCATAAACCACTTAGGTCAACTATTACATAAAAGAACCTTTGAATTTATTCACAAATCAAACACAATTTCACATTCAATTTGTTGTCCGACTTTCGCTTGGATTTGTTTAAAAAGTAATTTATTTTTCATGGCTGGAATTTCTTTTTGTTTGAAAGACTTTTCAATCAATTCAATGGAAGTTTCTGATTTTTAATTCAACTTTTATGCCAAAAAGAGTTTTTAACCCAAAAATATATATTGATTTTCAGCTATTTCGAATTTCAAATAAAATTAGTTGCTTCTGATGTGCCTCTAGATCCCATTACCAATACAAGCGAATTTGATCTTTTTCCACATAGTTTTTTATATTTCTCTTACGGAACTCTGAGTTGTTTGTGTGAAATTTTACCCAAAATTACTGTTGGGGGGAGGGAAGTCGAGGGAAATGTCAAAAAGGGTTTTGGTTGATGAGAGAGGCGTAAAACCTATACAACAATTTTTTGTTTAGGTTTATGTGTTGGGGAATTGGCCGCTTTGGGAAGGCTCGTAAAAAATGTATGAAATCATTGCGAAATACTGCCTAAAAAAGCTATAAAATCCATTAGTTTTAAAATAATTAGTTTTCTTAAATTCAAAGAAACATTATAGACTGTTAATGTAAAAAATATATATGATAGTTAATTAATAAAATGATGAATTTCTCATAGTAAGTATTAATAATTAAAAGGCTGAAATTGTTTTATTATTTATTTGATTATTTATTTTATGTTTCACAATATCTTGTTCGGTTTTTTTTGTACATTTTTCTTCTTGTAAATATTTATTTTAAAACAATTCTATATATTTTAATAGGACAAACTATTTTTGTGTTCAGTTGTTTCCCTTGTACTCCTCCTTTTCATTTTCAAAATATCCTTGAAACAAGTAATGAAAGTGCAAGAAAAGAATTTCCATTAAAATGCTTGCAATACAAGCTGAAAACGGGGCTAAGAAGGAGGCGGATTGGGTTGGACTCAAAAGGAGATGGGTTAATCAGTTGCCTTGCATATTTCATAAGAAATATAAATGTCTGTGTATAGAGGAAGGATTCATTCATTCACTGTTCCCGCTGCCCCAAAAGCTAATTAAATTCAAGCCAAAAGGGAAATAAAAAGCCTGGATAAGTCCAGAAGGAAAAAAAACAACATAATGTTGGCCTGTCCATATAAATTATGATTATTTTTTATGACCTCAGCTTGCCCATTTTGTGAATACCCCACCCTCTGAACCCCTCTTGAGAGAGTGATAAATTTAATGCAAAAAGCTATGCAATTTTTTGCTATATATTTTTGCCCCTTTTTTTGTTGCAGCTGCAGTCCTTGGCCAGCTGGACGGCAGCAGCCGAGGGAGTGGTAGCCCGCCGCCCGCCAGGATAAACTCCGTCACTCCACCACTCCGCCTGCAGCCGTCGACGCCATCAATAACGCATTTTGTAAATGAGTCCTTCATCATCTTCTGCCAGACAGTACAAAAGGATATCGACACCAAGTGGCGTGATCCCCGCGGACAGACCCGGGAGAACACCAAGGGGCGCGTCCACATCGAGAAGAAGACGGGTAAGTGGTGGCAGTAATGACCCAGCGGAGTGGCCAGTGGCACAGGCACACACACATTATCCACTGCTGCTCTATGCAAATATATAGCACCTTGCACTTTACACCCAACATAAATTGTGGCCGGAACTACTTTAAGGTGAATAATGGCTCGGGGCTTATTAAATCATTGCTAGCTAGAATAGGAGGCTTTAATCTCTTTAATAAAAAAATTAAGAATATTCAGGAAAAATTTATAAGTTATGGGAAAAGTAATAAATGTATTAAGGATTAATAGGGAAGTTAAAAATTATGTTTATGATATACAATATTTATTAAAACATTAATAGTATTAATCGAAAAGTAATAAAAGTAGTGGTAATTCAGTTAAAATAAAATATTTTAAATTATTTCAAGTTGTTCTAATCATTACCTCGAAATTTATTTCTAATAAAAGGTTTACTGGCTCTCGTTTTTGAGCACATCTCACTGGACGACATGGGCAACTGGACCTGCGAGGTGAACAGCATTGCTAATGGAAATCGGAATGTGAATGTTGAACGTGAATTCTTTACCTCCTTCGAGCTGCTCGTAAATCGTAAGTTGGCAAACGGGCTGGAGAAACTAAAAAAAAAGTATAAAAGAAATGGGGTCGTAAAAAGTGCTGCTGCAGGATCTGTTTACTTGCTTACTCAGTTGTGATTTTGGGACTTGGCTTTGGCCAAGAACTGTCCAAGACAGGCAAAACAACCAAAGAAAAGGCCAAGATAAATAAGAGATTTTAAATTTCCTAGAGAGAATCTTAAAGTATGTAATCATTTTTACAAGAATAAGAAATTTGGATTCTGACAATTTGTTTTTATAGATTAAAATAAAAATATTAAAAATTAGAAACTAAAACAAATCCCCTATAATATTTCCTTTGAAATTATCACCACTTAAAAGAATCATGAAACCATTTTCTTTTGCAATTTAACCACAAATCCAAGCAACCGCAACCCTTTTATTTCTTTCCCCCTTAAAAGTTTCAAAGCAATTTCCGGCTCAACAGAACTGGCAAATCATTTAATCTATTTACAAATCAGAATGAGTACTCTGCCAGCCACATTTAAAGTAACTCGATGAACTACACACAACGAACACAATTTGTCAACTTACCAATCAAAGAGAGAGACCAAGTAAACACAGCCAGCAAAGGACATGACTACGTAGCTGCTGTACTTGGGAATGGGCATATCATTGACTGCATATTTGCACAGGGAACTTGAACAACGCAACCGCTTTTCCTTCAACCGATTTTCCCCTATTCTGATTTTCACCCACAGAGAAAATCTCATTTGGCAAGACGGAACAAGTGCAGTCGGTGCGCGAGGGACGCGATGCATTGGTCAATTGCTTTGTGGAGGGAATGCCCAAGCCGGAAGTCTCCTGGCTCCTCAATGGCGAATACATAAACAGTAAGTTAAAACACTCGAAGAAAATATATGACCTTTATGCGGTATTATGATAGCTAGCTTTAAAATTTTGTATGAAAGAATCATATCTATAATTCGGCTTCAAGATTAATCTGTGATAATTTCGGAATTAATAAATATCTTAGGCATTTTTTAACTTTAATTTTAAGTTCTTTAAGTAAATTTCTTTAAAAAAACAGTCTAGTATTATTGAAAAATTATAACTTTATCCTATTTTAATCCTTAATATAAAAGCTACCCAAATATTTGAGTGCACCAAATGTTCAAAACCTCATTAACAATTTTTAAAAAAATCTAAAAAAAAAACCAAAAACGATATCAAGTATAAACTCCCACCGCAATTAAATAAATTTGAATTTCTTGGAGCAGAAATTTGCCTTTGGCCAGTGCAAACTTGTTAACAATTCCAACTACATCATTTTCCCTGCGATCCTGCACATACTGGTACCGCCCTCAAACCTCGTCCTGAACGCATCCTTTTGTTTTGCAGCCGTGAACTCGTCGAAGCACACTCGACTGTCGAACGGACTGTACATCAAGAATGTGAGCCAGTCGGATGCCGGGGAGTACACATGTCGGGCGTTGCGTATAACACCGACTTTTTCGGATGCCGAACAAATAACGATATTGCTAAGGATACAACGTAAGTGCCATGCCATGCATCTCATCTTATGCTTTGTATAGTTTGTGTGGACTTGGTCCTGGTTTGGTCCCTTGGTCAGCCCCTGCAGGACACTGCAAGGACATGCACACCCTCTACGTGCCACACTTGATAATATTTAATCTAGAATTTATTTCGCACCCCACTTGTTGGCAATTGCATTCTCCTTACTGCCTGTTTACTTCCCCCCCCATTTCGGGGTTTTTCTCGAAAATTGAGCTGAGAGTTTGCAACAAAATCTTTTGCTGATGGCAGCTTAAAGTTATTTAGTCGGATTTTCCCTCCACTAGGGGGGACGGACTGTGCATGCTTCGTTGGATTTAATGAGATTTCCAAGCAGCTCCAGGCAGCTACAGCTACCTACCAATTGAAGTTATCCCCATGGCACTGAGTGGGGAATTCCTTCCGGATGTCAGGGTCAAGTGGCTGGGAAATGCAAATAATTGATGCAAATTTCCTAATGAACATATTACTCGACTTGCGACCCTGCTGGGGCTTTGATTTGGGGAACGGTTTATACAGCGAATTACCATTGGTTCTTGAGGGAGTGTCTAGGGGATATAGGATATTATATATTATATTATTATTAAGGCAAAATCTTTAAGAATAATATTTGGTTCTTTTAGAAGAAGGTGAAAGGCTATGAACTAACAAATCCATCTTGCTAAGGCCAAAAGGGTACGTTTATCACATTCAAATAATTTCTGGCATTTGTCAAACAATAAGAAATGGTCCCCTGGGACTCGTTTATAATGCTGACACTGCCCGGGGCGACAGGATTGCTGTTTTGCCATCGATATCGGACAACATATGGCACCATAAAGAAACCGACACCAAGGCAAGTAAATAGTCGCTGGGTAAACTTCATCGCAGCTTCAGTTGATTCATTCTCCGTCCTGAGAATTGAGTTGCCGTCAAAATTGTACTAATGACTGCCGGACGAAGGTTTGCACAGAACAGCAGCAATGCACTGAAAAAAGTTTGTGGGTATATAAAAAATGCTGGTGACAAAAAATGAATTAAGGAATCTTTAGAATTTTCTAGCCAGTTTTTATATTTTTCCCCTTTAATATCCACTTTCTTTGCTTAATTCTGTATTAATTTAATAAATAAATAATTCAAAAATCACTGGTGAAAAAAAATAGAATTCAAACTGAACTTATATTAGATTTTCTCAGCGTGTAGCTAAGGCTAACCAAGCGAACGAATCCTTCGGGCAGCTCTGCTGGCGCTGCAAGGCAAACAGCCGGCGAATGGAAACCGAAACTAATTTGCTGCCCGACAGCCAAGGCAATGGCACACCCAGAGTTACCCACCGAATCCCCAGCAGAAATGCCGTGGGGGGAGACGGGGCTCCGAGCAGGAGCAGAAACTGAAACAGAAACAGGGACCAGCAGATGGAATGCTGCACAAATGCTGCAATATATAGGTTTGCATTTCCTCAGCAATAAACTTCAATGGGCCGCAGTGGCGATGATGGGCGACAAGGGCACAGGGACACAAGGACACTGTGATATCGGGGACAAACGATGAAATGCTAAAATGCTGCTATTAGCCAACGCCTCGGCGGGAAAAGGATGGTGTCCTTGTGGAGGTTCTGGGTGGTTTGGTCATCTCACCAATTACAGTGGGTAGCAAATGGGGTTAAGGACAGGGTAATTGAAAGTTAATTACTGCTGCTGCCAGGATATGTTTTCTGTAGTTAATATAAATAGGAGTTTTAATATGTAAAAATTATATTATATATAAGAAATATTTATTTATTACGCTTAATTTGCTTTTATTTATTTAAAATCTATCTAAAATATATATTTTCTTTCCCAGAAGGTTCTTCCTTCTTCAAAAAATTAGAAATTCCTTTTCTTTTCTTAAAAGTATCACTTATTTTACAAATCTTCCCCTAAGGCCAAAGAATTTTTTTCCAAAAGCCAAGAATACACAATTTGCCGTAGAGCCTGATTCAATTTCCTCGATACTTTGTACATTTCTTACCCGCTTTTCATTTCTTAGCTCTGGGTTATAAACAAGTTTTTTGTGAATGCAAAAAAAAAAAGAGAAAGAAAACTCCTTGCAACGAGTGAAAACCAAAATGGAAAAGTAAAATGACAAAACTCTATTGTTCAAGTGATTTGATTATTGCGGTTTCTCAGTTTGGTTTTGAATATTTTGTATTTGAAAATGCATACTTAAAGATAATGGCTCTAGCTGCTATTTTAAAGATAAGCCTTTGCATTGTGGAGTGTCAACAGAGACAAGGACAAAGTGAAACAGGTATCTATCTGGCCCCCATACTTTCCATTCTGCCACCTTCCCGAGAGTGTGAGCTGATGTATGAACAAACAGAACTAGGCCGAAGTTTCTGGCACTCAATATACGGGCTTAAAGGTAACACTGGAGAAAAATATCTCTAAAAAAAGAGATGGTAATAGGTTTAAAATTTTAAAAAATAATTTAAATATTACAAACAAAAAACGAAATATTAGAGAGGGGAAAACATTTTTGAAACAATAGAAATATCTTAACCAAATACCTAAATGTTGTACAAAACCCCTTCAGAAATTGTAGACTTGTGTATGATATTTGTTCTCCCAGTGCCTCACACACACTCCCTGCTATAACCTACACTTTACACCTTTCCTCTGACACTTCTGCAGATAAACCCCACTGGTTCTACAATGAGACAATGCCTGTGCAGTTTGCCTATGTGGGCGGATGGGTCAACCTGAGCTGTGACGCAATGGGAGAGCCACCGCCATCGTTCACCTGGCTGCACAACGGCAAGGGAATCGTGGGCTTCAATCACCGCATCTTCGTGGCCGACTATGGGGCCACGCTGCAGCTGGAGGTGAAGAATGCCACCCAGTTCGGCGACTATAAGTGCAAGGTGGCCAATCCGCTGGGGATGCTGGAGCGAGTGATACGGTTGCGGCCGGGCCCAAAGCCTAATTGCCCATCGCGCTTTGAGCTAAAGAGAATCTACAGCCATGGCTTTGAGCTGGACCTAAGGACGCCGCGGATGAGCAATGCCTCCGAGCAGATGCAGATCTATGGCTATCGGGTGGCCTACATGAGCGAAAGGGAGTTCAGGTTCACTGCCAGCAACTGGAGCTATGCCAAGCAGCGGGACTTTTCCTTCCATCAAGGTTGAGTAAATCGTTCTGGCAAATGTAATTTATTATGCCATATATATAGGGAGACTAATCTCCCCCTTTTCTAAACTAAATTGTTGCCTATTTTCTCTGTTCTATTTGCAGGCCAGCACTTTCTCATTCCGAATCTGATGGAGAACACCACGTATCTGATGAGGGCTGCGAGTCGAAATCTAGCGGGATTGAGTGACTGGAGCGTTGTGAAGAAATTCACCACGGCCGCAGGCTGCAGCTGGAATCCATCGCTTCTATATCCCCTACTCGCACTTATCCTGGCCTCCATCTGGTCATAGAGCCTGTCCCAATTATAATTATCACAAAGCCCATACCCCACATCCCTAGCTCGTTATTGTTGCCGCTGAGTTTTGTTTTCTGTTTTTTTGTATATCTTCTGTGATAGAACTTTGTGTGTGCAATTCACTTGAATAACTTAAAACCCAAATGGAGAAACGGATTATAAGGCGAATGCTTTTTGCTATATATAAAAAAGAATATATTAGTTACAGCCTATTGCCAATTTTTGCTGCCAACTTTCATTCATCAATCGCATTTTTTGTACGTTTTTTAAAAGAAACCCAAGGAAATTAAATTAAACAAAACGATTTTTAGTAGGTGAGAGAGAGAGGGTGCAATCCTTACGATACATACAATACATATGCATTGTCAAACTCTACCTTATAGTTAAATATGAAATGCCCAACTCTACATAAATGTTGTTCAAGCTAAAACGGAAAAAACTAAAACGATATACAAGTAAAACCCGAAGAAACAAAAAAGATTATAAAAAACAAAGAAAACTTTGATGAATTTTACAAACCACAAAACGAAAAAGTCCAAATTATTGATTATAAATGAAACAAAAGGAAAGCAAAGCGAATCAATAGTAGAAAATGGATTGAATTAGCTTAATTGAAGTGGAAAACCCAAAAAGCGAGAAGATAGAGAGAAATGTGAAGCGAATTCCCGAATAAAATGAAATGTTTAGCTGGTAAGCAGGGCGTATGAGTAATATGAGAATAAATTCAACTGAATGTGTATGTCGGAGATATCCGTTATTTAATTTAACCGTAGTCGAGCCAGCGAGTTCTGTTCGCCTGCGCAGTCAAATCGAATCTGTCATCACGCCACTTTTCCTGTGGCCCTTTCACCTTTTCTTACTTTTCACTCAGATGTCATTCCTAGACAATCTCAAGCTGTCTCTCTCATTCTCTCCTATTGTTGCGACAGACGAACAGACCTCACTCAGTAACACTCCTGTTACCGACTCAACTGTCATTGCGCCTGCGCGCCAGCGACACCTACAGGGCTACCAATACCTGAGCATGCCGAATAACTCTGTTGCCATAGCAACAAGCTTTCCAAATTTGCACTTAGCAACCAACTCGCCGACACGGCCATCCTGACAATTCACGCGTCCTCGCGTGACGTGTCTTCTAATAGCTCTAAACATAACTGTCATTTATCATTCTCTCTTTTTTCTCTCTTTGGTCTCAACTTAACATTTCATTTTATCTGTTTTATTCATGTCAAATAAGCTTTACTTTTATTTCTTCTCGCCACTTCATTCTCTTCTCGTACCAAATCTGTATCTTCTTTCTCTGCTCGTACCACAACTCTTACTCAACATCTCTTCATCAATTTATACAGGCTCTTGCTGCACACTTTGCAACGCTCACACGCACCTCTTGCGTCACGGTCTCTCTGGACCCTCACAGCCTTATAAATGATTCCACCAACGAGTGCCTCAGTCGGCGATCTCTCGCTTACACTTCTAGTGTCTTCAAATGTTAGTTTGGCAGGATAACCTTTCGAAACCATAGAGTACAAGCTCTTTTCGTATTTCAAAAGGCTCCGCTTCACATATTCTGACCATAGGAATAAAGTAGGCCCCGTTTCATGTGATCCGACACGGCCTTCCTGACAAATCACACGTCCTCGTGTGTTAACTTTAAATCACAGTATTCTAAAATTTCGGTACTCGTTACATTTTATTGTCAACAAACATTTAATTAATTTTCTAAACATAAGTATTGAGGCATTTAGACAAAATAAGCATCTTGGTTTCATGATAACATAACAAATTACATCTTCATTTTAATCATAATTTACAATTCAGACTTCTCTAATTACATAGCTTTATCAACTGGTGTATTTCCTTTTACACCCACATACTGACCCCCGCCATAACAATTCCTTCTGTTATGGTGCGGTCTCCACTGACCCCCGCCATAACAATTCCTTCTGTTATGGTGCGGTCTCCACTGACCCCCGCCATAACAATTCCTTCTGTTATGGTGCGGTCTCCACTGACCCCCGCCATAACAATTCCTTCTGTTATGGTGCGGTCTTTATATCCCCTCTTGGGATTCCAAGGCATCAACCGTGCCATCCATATCATCATTCCCCACATGGGAATCAGACGCATCTCCACTTGAGTCGTCTAAATCTTTATCAATCAACGTGATTGCTTATTTGTCTATTTGGCAATGCCCTCAAAAACTCATGCGCATACTTATAAGTTCTTTTGCTTGTTAAGGATTTTAAAATGTACCGATTTCCATCTTCATTTCTTTATCTCTTTCTTTCTCCTCTCTCTCATTCGTAACATATTTTCCATTTCCAATTTATCCATTTTAAGTTAATCTTGCCTTAACAAAATTGTGCTCTTACTTCCATAATTTTACCGAACCGGCATAACGTAACTTTAAATTTCTCTTTCTTTATACTTTTCTCTGTGTCATGTGGTGGTATCAAGCCCAAAGGGTGGGTCCGATTGGCATCTCTTAAGGGCTTGCATTGGTTGCACTACTAACTGTGCAGTTCGCCGCAAGTTGCACCCCGCCAAGAGCATCTTCCCATCACCTCTGCGGTCCTGGTATCCAGCCAGATGACTACTTTACAACTTTACACATGATACAATTTTCAACAATCTTTAAACTTAGTCATTTCCAACAATTCTGATAAATATTGCTGAGTCTATTTTTTCCAACCCAAACACATAACGGATTTATAACCTTGATTAATAACTATCCAACAAAATTTAAGGGACACTACTGGCAGATAACATTGCCTCACACCTCTCTGTATTCTTTAAAATCCCTCTTCGTAACTCAAGTTGATTTCAATTATTTTTAGTTGTTTATAAACTATACCAATAAATCCTGAATCCTGAAGTTGATCAGTCGGTCATTTGAGATTTCCATTCTAAGTTCAGACGTTTTTCTGTCAATTTATTTTTATTTATCGGAGTTAAATCAGTCATGTGAATTCTGGACACAAAAAGAATTCCACAATTGCCTTGCGCTTTCTCTTCCTCTACTCTATGATGCACTTCAGTTAATTTTTTTTTTTTTTTTTAGAAATGATTACATCTGCAATAAGTATAGACTACAAACTCTCATCTGAGCAAACAATGCCAAAAATGTCAGAATAATTGCACGCCAACCAATATTTCCAATTCATACAAAGGCTACTTGGACTCCACAAGACACATAGTTCTACCAATATATCCACCAACATAAGGGTCTCCATTAATTAGGTGTATTAGCATTGGACCATATCCACAAGAGCTTATATCTGTTTCAAATTTGATCAGATGTTTCGAACCCACTAATAACGATTACAGGCTCATTTGTAATAATATTAAAAACGTTCGTTCCAATTTCTGAATATCGTCATTTCACTTAAAGATACTTGAAGCCGAAGAATCTGTCTCATGATCTGAGAAAATCGAGGCACACGTTTTTTGAAAATAAGGCACCAATTCAATAAATGGTCTTACGACGGTCTCTTAATTGCACCGATTAAAAGGACGGACCTTTAACGTAAGGATTTTCTAGGAATTGGGTCTGATTTCTCCACCGCACACCTCATAGCTCAGATACTGCGTAGTAGGTTCAAGAAACCCACATTTGGTAACGTTAAATGGCAACTCTGGTACAGTCAACACATTTAATACAGCCTTCGGAAAGCCTTTTCTTCCGAGTTTGCCATGATTAACATGCATCTATGTAAACTATCGCAAATAATCATGATAAATTCCAAACGCCTTAACAATTGCATGATGAAGGTAGAAGATGCACTCTTCAAACCAAACGGCACGGCAGACCAAACAGACGGCAACTTGTAATTTTTTTAAATTAATTATTTTTCAACAGAAACATTTTTCCTTCACAGGGTCTGACATAAGCGGCAAAGGCCACTGTCCGAAACCATTTTCGAATATTGCTTCCGATAGTCTAAGCACAACCTATCGTAGCACAGGGCTCGCCAATGGGAAGGCAGATGTGCAAACAACACTGCAATCAAACACATCTCTATTCCCATCTTTTAGCCAATTCAGCTCCCAAATCAAAGAATAATTGGAAAGGGCTCACCCGATACTGTCACTGTTGAATCACACAAATCAACTCGCTTCTACATGCAGCTGATGCTGCCGCTCGCAGCCGCTGATACCCATCTCGTGCACACAGATGCAATGTGACCACCGTTATCACGCCTGAAGTGCGTCACTCCAGCTCTCCGCACTTCAGCCGCAGTTCCGCCAGTGTGCTGTTGTTGTTGTCTTCCATTCTTCCCCAAATTTTCTGGCCGACACTGATGACACTTGCAACCGTCCGGCTCAACACGCGACCAGTGCATTTGACTGCCTATCACGACTCCGGTGTCTCGCACCACGCGGCTGCGCAAGCCTTCGATGCGCCACTGAATTTAATATCGACCGAAAATCACTTTATCAGAATGCCCGCGAGGCTATGGTGAATCCCACTTCTGATGTCGGAGATATCCGTTATTTAATTTAACCGTAGTCGAGCCAGCGAGTTCTGTTCGCCTGCGCAGTCAAATCGAATCTGTCATCACGCCACTTTTCCTGTGGCCCTTTCACCTTTTCTTACTTTTCACTCAGATGTCATTCCTAGACAATCTCAAGCTGTCTCTCTCATTCTCTCCTATTGTTGCGACAGACGAACAGACCTCACTCAGTAACACTCCTGTTACCGACTCAACTGTCATTGCGCCTGCGCGCCAGCGACACCTACAGGGCTACCAATACCTGAGCATGCCGAATAACTCTGTTGCCATAGCAACAAGCTTTCCAAATTTGCACTTAGCAACCAACTCGCCGACATGTATAAAAATGACTTTGCTGTCTGTCCTGGGTGTCTGGCTTTCAAAAACAAACATTTCGTTCATTTATTTAATTATTTTAGGACCAAAGGAGCAGGGGTAGGTAAGTTTTAATACATTTTTCGGATATGGTTGCAAATAAATACTATTGTTTTCAGGATAAATACTTTTCATTTTGGTGTGTTTAGTTTATTTGTATAAAATAAACCGTGCATAAATCTGCTTTTAAAAGAGCCTACCATCTATTTCCATTAAAAATACATTTAATTAATTTTATATTTAACTGCCAAGTCATTTTGGGAAATAATTTCCGGATTTATCTTTACGCCAAAGGTGTCTCCTGATGGCTATCTGGTGACCTTTGTTAGTCAGCTTGGCCATCAAAATGTTTATCATATTCATTAGTGCAAATCTCGCATTGCTTTCGGGCCATAAACATCAGGCCCGAGGACGGAGAACAAAAGCAAATCCTGAGGCATTATGGCTGGCTCATTGCGTATGCCGAGCACGCGCCCAATTACAAGTATACTTCGCAAGGACACCGCCCTGCAGCCAGTTACCGCCTTACCCCCTTTCGGGGGCAATAAAAAAAAGACATAATAAACTAACTCATAAAAGTCAATAAACTGTCAAATGGCAAAACATTTACATCACTTAAGCATAAATCTCTCTCCCTTTTCGGCTCTGCATCCTTGCTGGAACACCCATATACGCATATAGAACCTATAAAAAGGAGGAGAGCTGATACAAGGGCCATTTACATAAGCCCACAAATTCGCCCAGCGATAAATGATCATTAACGCAATCGGCCGCCATAACTTATTGTATTTAACTTTTATTTCAACGTGTGCATATTTTTGTTCTGAACCAAAAAAAATATCGAAAATTGTTACGGGTCAGTGGCAATACACCCGCAG